TCGATTACTGAGGAGTTCGCTGCGGACACCCTGATAATTGACCTTTTTTCATAGGTTTGAATGGCGTATCAATCGATATATCGCAAAGCACGCCACGCCACTGCACGGAATGAAGATTCCCTCTCACACTGTTCATCTCTTTAATGATTTATTTTATAGGTTTTAAATAGATTACTCCGGTTGGTTGAGTATATCGATGGCCCAAGAACGGCAGCACGTACCTCAATTGCGGCGATTCAAAATTTCCGCTCATATTTCATTTTTTTACCGAGGGGCAGGCCAGCTTTATAGCTTGGAATCTGAACAGATTTTTCCGCTGATAGAGAATTATGATCAGAAAAGTTATCAAGAAATTCCGTCTGTCAGTTTTCTAAAGAAAAAATAAATTATGGCGAGAAGTCTGCAACGTCGCAAACGGAGACACGGTGTCATACTTCGGCCATCGATGTATTCATCCAGGTGTCTGTCCGGAATTTCTAGAAATTCCGGAAATAGTGCTGATTTATCAAGAGCTGTCCGGAAGTACTGAAATGTTCGGAAATCCCACAAGAAGGTCCGGAATTCTTTCCTCTAGACCTCGCGTGGTTTCCAATAAAGCCTGGAAAGTATTCAATCTCCTGCGCGTTTATTTTTAGAGCAGAAAAATCCAAAACGGATTAATTCCAAAACAATTTCTTCCGGAATAAAAGTGAGTCGACAGAATCCAGTGGCGATTGCGAAGTGGCAACGGGGTTCTGTCTCTGATTTGAACGCATGTTAAACAATCGATTCACATCAAAGCAGGCCGCCTCACCGCGAATCGATTATTTGTAATGGATTTAAATGGAAAAATAACATTTTAGCCGACTCGCATCGGGAATGCACCTCGACCATTGTCTGAGTTCTAATGAGCGAGATTCTCCTCGCATGCAGCACGGAGACAGCGAGACACCAAGCTCTCCTCGGATAGCGAGAGCACCTAAATCTTAATCAAGGATGATGTCGAACGCCATTGAATAGGTCAGAAGTAATGACCTACCTTTGTGAGCCACTTTTTAAGGAGGAACGATTCCTATTGAGACAGCTGAACGGACGTGGCGTCACTTCACTCGTCTCGGAAGCCGATCGTCGAGTGCTGCTACTTTAAAAAGCGTTGCAAGGATTACTGCCGTGCTAAGGAAGAACGCCGTATGAACCTTCAGACGTTGCCACATTTCCTTCAAAAAAACCTTAATTTGCCCGGAAAATCGTGAATTTTTTTCTTTCATTTTTCAGACGATTTTGTTCATAATGGAGATGTTGCATGTGTGAGGGATTTGCGATCTGACTGTTGTTTCTTATGTAAAAGTTTGCGAGAAACACGATGGTGCCACTGGTTTTCTCTGAAATCATCTCCCAAGCTCAAAAAAAGCTCTCGAAGTGAGGCCAAAATGGAGGGGATATCCCGCCCTACCCTGAGAGTCCACCTCTACATCAAAACAAACTCTCCATGCAAAGATAGGGAGCATATACATTGACAGGGCTGCCACTTCATTTGGGGACTCCAAAACTGAAAACATGGCAACCCTGCAACACATGCAACATCTCTATTTTGTGTAAAATGTTTGAAAATTTTAAGTAAAAATGCGCATAATCGTTCTCAAAAATACATTTTTATCTGGGGCAATTTGGCAACTCTCGAATGTTCATACGGCGTTTTTACTTAGCACGGCAGGTTAGTAGCTTCACTTCTTTCTCCCTCTCCTCGTGTCCTCATCTCTTCCTTGATCCCTCAGTCGTCCTCATTCGATCCCGCTGCCTCGCTTCGCTCCATGGACATAGCACATAGATAACCCGCACAAGATGGATGCTGAAGAGTTTACGTTGCCGGATACCAGGGGCTTCTCATGAGGAACCGTGCCGGATCCTAATTGGATGATTAATAAAGCGACTCGAGAGTCATCGCTGGTATACGGTAACGCAGCGGCATGACAGAAGCTCGTCAGCGTTGTCTTTAGGGGACCCCTTCAACGTTTTAATCTCACCGCCTACGCCTATGATAATGCCGCCTCACGACAAATTCGTCTAAAAATTAGACTTCAGCACGGAGAAAAAAACTTCGTGCGTGGGACCCGAAGTTTAGGTCATATGGATCTCCGAAGTTTTCGGATTGAGCATCTGAACGCTTTAGGTCCAGCTGCTGAGGTTTGAATCATACATCTGAAACTTCAGTTCTTACATCTGAAGTACTTCGGTTCTCACATCCGAAAAACTTCGGTTCTCACATCTGACGTACTTCAGATGTAAGAACTGGAGTTTCAGATGTGTGATCCGAACCTTGACAGCTAGACCTAAAGTGTTCAGATGCTCAATCCGAAAACTTCAGAGATCCATATGACCTGAACTTCGGGTCCCACGCACGAGGTTTTTTTCTCCGCGAGCGCCTCAAAATAAGGGAAATCTTGATTTTTGTCGCCTCTTTGCTTCTCTAGAGCAGTTAGCCTATGTACCACCAGGGACGGTCTGGCTAGGGGTGCTAAGATGCTTTAGCACCCCAGAAATTCTGACGAGTTGCTCAGGGGGCCCTGTCAGGACTCCTTTAGCGGTTCCCAAAACTTGAAAAACCTACATGAAGGAAGACCGTAGTTTAAATATGTATGTATATGTATATGGTTTCCCATCGGATTGAACGAGTTGCGGCTCTTTAGGGCGATAATTTCGTCCGTTTGACCGTATCTATGACTGAAAATCGAGAATCTAGCGCCCTATCCTCCAAGCCCCTCAAATCACGATAAAACGGATCACTAAAACTGTAAAGTTAATAGTATGTTTCAGTGGGAATTTCGCTCCCCCTAAGATCGCGTCCGAGTAATAATAAATCAAGAAAAGTTGATATTCTGGAATATCTCCACGGACGATTTCAGATAACTGTGGTGTGTGGTCGGTGCGGCGACATAGTGGTCGTAACAGCGAGGGGCGGAATGAGCAACTTGTTTCGCTGCTAAATGTCACGGAGACGCTAGGAGCTACCACAAATGAGGAGCTCGCATTTGCGAGGAGAGCAAGGTGTTGGAGTATGAGGGTAGCCGAGACCGAGACGTACACGAGCATTAACATTTTCATGTCAAATCCGTATAGGTTACTCAAATGTCGCTCGAGGGCATTCAACGGGAGCAAAGCGCCATCCTCCGGGATCCCGACTCCCGACTCGCCGTCGTTTCAAGCTTTTCTCAAATTGATTTCGAAAGCTTCGCGAATCCCTCGTTTAAGGGTTTTGTCCCAATCAAGGAATTAACAGCGCGTCGGTGGTCTGGACTGGGTGTCTACTGTTCAAAAAAAAGTACGGATTCACCGAAAAAGCACGGATTTCGGAAGGTCGGAAAAGGAACGGAAATTCGAGCTTTTCGTGATAAACTCGTAAGTGTAGCCTTGGGGGGTATGCGAATTCCTAACATAGTATAATCATCAAGTTCCCGGTTCGAATCCTCTTATTTTCGGTTTATTTCTTTGTTATTTCATCATTTCGCTTTTCCAATCGAATACAGTTAAAAATGCGTGTGAGGTAAGGAAAAAGCTAGGATTTTTAAAAATTGCCAAAGAAAAAGGAATTTTTGGGAAAGCAAGGGAAAAGCAAGGACTTTGAATGATAACGTACTAGTAGACACCCTGTCTGGTGAACCCGGAAAGTCAGGGACTTTACGGCGACTTCGAAAAGTCAGAAAATTTTGCCAGCGACGTCTAGCAGAAGTCAGCATAATTGAAGGGGAGGGGGGGGGGTTTGAGTAGAAGTTTAGTTCGAAGGTCAGGAAATTCGAAAATGGAGTCAAAGAAAAGCATAGAAAGTCACGGCTAAATATCAGGGATTCGGAATATACGTATTATACTGCTGCGCGAAAGGAGAGCCGAGCGTCGTGTGAGCCTTAACCCTCTTTTTTTGACAGACTTGCTGGACTATAATATCAGCTTGACGAAAGGGCGTAAATTTCTAAGGTAAACCCTGAACCATATCAACGTGTGTGTGTGTGTTCATTGCGCCGTTACATTATTTTTTCAGAGTAACCATGCGAGTAGGTCGTGTGCTAAAATCTTGCACGGGGTGTAAAGAGGTTATGGAGCTTGAAGCCGAGAAGGCTAATCGTAAGCCAATGTTTTGATACTCGGAAAGTATTTCTATCGCCCAAGTTATTCAACTTGTACCTCCCCCCTCCTGTTGAACATTGGATTGTAATGGGCCGGTACTACTAGGCAGCTTTTTCACGGCCTTAGCATTGATAACCCTTACTCTCTCCGCGGGTCCATATCATTCGCACTCACCAGAGATACTCAATATTTACTCATGCCTCGTTGCAAGTTCAGCTTTTGATCTCGGCGGTTTCCGGTGGGAAGCGGAAACCATGCAACGTTCATCAGTGGTGAGGCATCGATATCGATTATCGATTTTTACCCATTAGAAGCTGTCGTAAAGAATCGATTAGCGAACACCCTGTTAATCGATCCTTTTTCATAGGTTTAAACGGCAGATCAATCGATATATCGCAAAGCACGCTATGCTACTGATGTTCATCCTTATGCAGCTTATTTTAAAAGCAAGCCGACAACATGATTTCTTTCTCGAACGGTACCGATATTGATATTTTCAGGCGTTTATCTCTTCCACTGTGATTGCAAGACGGAGTGTATTTATTGCACTCATTTAGTGCCCATTATAGAACTCCTGTAACCTACCAGTAATGGTGTCAGCAGGAGCTCCGTGTTGCAGGGTCGTTCTCGTCGAATTCGACACGAAATTACATGCCACGGAAATTGGTTTGCAGTTTTAATTCGGCGTTTCGTCCCAGCGTTAGTAGTTGAATACTTCATAAACAGCAAGGACTATTTAGTAAAAGCTGTTTAATGTACCCAAAAAAATACGATGTCTGTGAAAAATTCAGAGCGTATTATGAATACTGAGTCATTTGTTTTGCTAGATTTTACGTATAGCTTACCCTCAAATTTTTAAGTTTCCCCTCTCATCTTAATTTGTTTTTTTTTCTGTTTTCCAGGCCTCCATGGATTTACCTCCGGACAAGGCCAAACTTTTGAAACAGTACGACAATGAAAAGAAATGGGACATCATCTGTGATCAGGTATGTACTTATTGCGCTTTTTGTATGGTATCACATAGACCAAATGCAGTTTATTTCAAACTGATGAAGTATTTTGTTTTTTGGCACTTCGATGTGAATGCTACCAAGTAGATATTTACCTCCGGATGATGAAAAAAAATTGTTGAATAATCTCCAGATAGTTGACCGAAGGGAGTTCGGGAGTTTGCAAAAAATACATCATAATTCAGTCATTAATAACCGATTGACTGTCGAATCGTTCTAGTAAGGATATAAAACCGCCTTAAAAATATTTGAATCTCTTGGTTCAAAAACAACCCATCTCGGAAAAATGGCATGTTTCAAGAGACGATTAAAAGTGCGTAACAGCCAGAAGAGAGATGTTTCTACACACGAAAAGAAAACGGTAAAAACCCCAAGTTGAGTCGTTTTCGAACTGATAGATTCAACTCTTTCTGTTGGACTACACTGGAAAAAAAAAACACATTGGATCTAGAGTCTAGACTCTTAAAAAAAACATCGACAAGAAAAAATACTCTTGATTCAATCGGATTTTTGCTTAAATCAAGAATCAAGCCTCTTAACTTAATTTGAGCGATTTTCCTTTTGATGTAAGCAAAAATCTGATTGAATCAAGAGTATTTTTTCTTGGCAATGTTTTCAAGAGTCTGGACTCTAGATCCAATGTGGTTTTTTTCCCAGTGTACATTTTGCAACTAGAAACTACAATTTCTGGCTTAGTTTAGGAACAACGCATGTACCATTAGTTTTCGCATGCACATAAGTGTTTTTACGGAAGAGCCAGAAATTGTAGTTCCGAATCGCAAAATGAGTCCAATTACCCCTAAAACAGCCCCGCGGCTTGGCGACGCACAGGAGGCAGATGGGCCCAGCCCGACAGGGACAGGGCGGGAGTGACGAGCCGAGGGTGAAAAATCACGTCCGAAATCGGAGACGTGTAGACACAGCCACCGCACGGTTGCCAAATTATCAACCACATCCATTGCGGAAGGTCAGCGACATCATCCGGAGTACAGTTATTCCGAGCGATCGGGCAGCGACGGCTCCTATCACTGTTTGATCGGAAGGGATTATGTGAAGACGCGGAAAGGGAGCCTTGAAAAGCCAGCCGAGTGGTCTGCACTGCTGCCGTGCTAAGGAAGAACGCCGCATGAGCCTTCAGACGTTGCCGAGTTTCCTTTATAAAAACCGGATTTACTGGGTAAAGTGGGAATATTTTCCCCCAAAAATTTCGAACAATTTTGTACGCAATTTAATCGAAAATATCTGAAAATTTCAAGGAAAAGTTTGCATGAGCAGGGTGTCTAGCATCAGGATTATCCAGATTTTCCCAATTTAATCAGGATTGAGGTCAATCAGGATTTAATCCCGATTTCATCGGGAATTGAGGAAAACTCGGTCGGTAAGATTATGATTTGAGAAAAATCGGCCATCCGATCGGATTTTTTTATGCTTTCGCATACGCTTGTGCAGTAATTTTAATTTTTCTCCGCAGAAAATCATGATTTGGAAAAATTATTAAATCAGGATTAAGCCGTCAGAAATCAGGAAAAAACAGGATTTCATCAGGGTTTCCCAAAATGGAAAAAAACTAGACACCCTGAAAATTTTTTCAAAAATATATGTTTTATTAAGGTAAATTTGGCAACTCTGGAATGTTGATACGGCGTTCTTCCCTAGCACGGCAGATTGAGTCGAGAGAATGAACTCGGAACCCGGAATTAAACGAGGGGGTGGGACGGGAGACGGGAGGGGGCGGCGCTTTGTTATTCCTCCCTCCCGGGAGCGACGGGCACTTCAGGGGCAGACGACCGCGGCCACGCCGGGGCTCTTCATAGAGGAAATAGAGATTTTCTTTTTCCGCCCCCCTCCCCCCCTCCCTTCGAGGGCTGTCGAGTTTGAAAGATGACAGTGAGCGCCGCGATTCGCTTTCGTTCGCGGTTTACCTTCCTTCGAGACGAGGCGAAGCGCGGAAAGAAGGCGAAAGTGCGGCTGCGAGTCGCACAGCTTTTATTGAAGGGAAGTTGCTTTAAGGCGCTTCAAAGGGGTCCCGTTCGGGGGGGGGGGGGTGCGTCTGCCGAGAGTCGTTTGACTTGACGGCTTAGACTTTCCACCCGATGCGATTTCAACTGATTGTGAGTTTCCATGAAAGGGATTCAGACAGTGCTCCCATTTCCCGGAACTAGTTCTGAATTTCGGAACTTTTAAGATTTACCTGAATTTTTCCTGAAACTTTTGAAATTCCCGAAGTGTTCCGGATCTTTTGCATTTTCCGAAACTTTCTCAGATTTTTTTAAAAAATTTAAAAGAATCCCGGAACTTTTGACGGTAATGGGTCAGGAGAATTTTGAGCAAAAAAGTTCCGAATCCCGGAACTTTTGACGGACATGGAATGGGCGCACTAGATTCAGAGCGTTTTCAGGCTGCCTAGAAAGCTCCATTGGCGGATCCAGCATATTGGCAACATTGTATTTTCTCCATTTAAACCTATGTAAATGTATCGATTCTCAGAGTGGCCAGGTGCTCCGAAAAGAATCGATTATTTAGCATGGGTTTAAATGGAAATCCGGTGTTACCAAGTTGCTGGATCCGCCTCTGGAAAGTTCTTTAAAGCAAAAAAGAAGTCAAGATCCCGGCCTCAAAATTTCTAATTCTTACACTGAAAAAAGTGGTTTTTCTACTCAGCTAACATAGATTAGTTTCGTATACCAAAAATCCAATTTATTGGTTTTGTACAGCAAACTTAGTAGTGTTGTATTTCAACTTGAGGGGCTCCAATTCAGGAGTGGAGAAAATGCTCGATCTTTCGCCTGCTCGTACGTGGGTGTGAAAATGTGGAAAGGCCCTTCCAAATGTGGAAGGAGCGAGCATTTTTAAGGGTCCAAAATCGAAAATCCAAGGAAAGAGGAGGGGATAGGTCCTTGTTTTTTTAATTAGTGGAAAATGTGGAAAGCCGACAGGTGGGCGCGTGAAAGCGTGGAAGCTTGAACGATTCTGCAGCCCTGCTCCAATTTGTTGGACCACAACTTCAAAAAGTTGGAGCACAACTCCAATATGTTTGTTGTACAAAACCAATAAGTCGGTGCACAACACGAATTTGGGGTAGCTGGGTCGAAACCGTCTAACCTTTCTCGCAATGTAGAGAAGTACCTCACTCCGAATTCCGCAAATCGGTGTATAAAGCATAGACAATCGGACATGACCAACCACCCACTATTCGACTAATTTGATCGGAAGTCATAAAACTGGATTCACCACTTCACACTAACCGGTCTGTATATTTAAAACCGCATCTGAACTTTCATATGAAAATTGCAAGTTTCAAAACCGTTTAAAGTTCGTGGTAAATACTCGTAGGAGGGATTTGCCAATCGCATCGCGCCCCCTCTCTTTCCACGCCAGGACTCTTTCATTCTTATTTCCGTGTCACATTGGGCCCGAATCCGTATAAGTCTTCCCAACTGTTGTGCGTTGGACGTTCCCTAACCACAACCCTAATCTCCACCTCCGACACCGCAATGAACGTAACGCAAGAATGTGGAAAGAAACTCACGAAGACACGTATTCTGCCGTGCTAAGGAAGAACGCCGTATGAACCTTCAGGCGTTGCCAAAGTTCCCTTGATAAAACACGAATTTGTTAGTAAACTTGTGAATATTTTTCTTCCAATTCTTCAGATAATTTTGCTCGCAATTTCACCGAAAAGTTCTATGAATTTCAAGGGGAAATATTCATAACTTTCCCAAAAAATGACCATTTTATCGATGGAAATTTGGCAACTCTCGAATGTTCATACGACGTTCTCCCTTAGCACGGCAGTATTGCCCGTTGCCGTCGGTGGCTTCCTTGGGTGCGCAATTATTGCGTTTACGAAACAGCAGAAAACCCGTCGCCATGGAAAGAGTGAGTAAGTGAAAGGGTGAACTTGGAGTGCTCTTTTCGTTTGATTGCTAAATGTTGTCATTGAACTCCCTCACCGAGTGATTAAAAATTAATATCAATCTGCGGTTTCTCTCTTAGGGACGCTGTCTGATGAAAAACATTTACGGGGAATAAATTCTTTGAATTTCCATGAATTACCTATTTGAAGCAGGTAATAACGAAAATCATCATCGCCGCGCCGGTTGGAAATATATTCTCATCGTCAGTTCTGTCGTGCTAAGGAAGAACGCCGCATGAACATCAGAGAGTTGCCAAATTTCCTCCAATAAAACATATATTTATTAGGAAAGGTATGAATATTTTACCTTGAAATTTCCAGGGACTTTAGGTGGCATCGCGAACAACATTATCTGAAAAATTGGAAGGGAAATATTCATAAGTTTACCAGGAAATTCGTGTTTTATCAAAGGAAATTTGGCAACGCCTGATGGTTCATACGGCGTTTTTCCTTAGCGCGGCATAGATGGATTGGGATACTGGAAGCTACTTTTGTTCCTCGGAAAAACTGAATAAGTCTGGAAATGGCATGCATCGTGTCATTGAAGGAAAAAAATTCTGGAAACTGAACAATCTTTCTACTTTTCTTTCAAACCGCACGGAAAATAGTCGGGGTAAAATGTTTGTATCGGAAACATTTCTTTGCGGACACATCTACGTAAACATATTTTTGTTGTTGTTTTTTGTTAAAGATTTTCATTTGCCAAGATATGCCTGTTTGATTGCGGAATAAATATTGACACTTTACAGTTTTCACGGATTTTCTCTCTAGAAGCTTCTATAAAACTAACTTATTGGCCAAATCCCAAGGCATATTTTTTATGGAGTTTCAGAGCAGCTCCAAGTCAATTTGGTTTTGAAGTAAACGGACAAATCCTTGCATAGAAATGTGGAATAACGTATTGCCGATATTTCAAAAGGGATTTAGCGTTTTACTCTCTTTGTGGGGCAAGCGTGGCACCCTCGCGCCCACTCAAATGAACCTAGCCCAATCACCAATTACGCGTATCTGCAGCACTAGCTGTACAACGGTAGCGTTTTTCACAGTGGGTTAAATAAAA